CTCCTCAGAAACCTATTACAATTTCCATCTTTTTGTCTGCCTAGTTTTTCCCAGTTAGATAAACTCCATTCTCAAGGCTTGACCCTCCATAAGCTTCTACTTCCCTCTCCAAATTCCAGTTTAATTCTACACCTACTTCTGGCCAAGCGGGAATGGCTTGTCGCCTTCACCATGCGATGCTCACTAGCTTCAGCATTTCCACTTCATAAAACAAGTTCTCTTGAGGTTTACTAACCAAGGACCTAGGCAATTTAAAGAACTCAGAATGACTCATTCTGAAATTACAAGCCAAAAAATTAAAATATTTACTATGAAACAAAGGTTTTCCTTTATAGGAAATGTGTGGGAGGTCAGGTATTAGAATCCAGGACTCATTTTGACTGTCAGTAGACAACACAAACTCTACAATTCACAGCTGACTTTGCCCAGTAAAATAATTCACATCACAAAGTAATTTTCATGCAAATTAGCCAGGCAAAAGTTTAAGAACTAAAAGGAGATAAATATGAAATCCTCTGCCCTACTGGCCAGAAGAACCAAATTCTAAAGGTTCACTTTCATAGTCAAAATAGATGCTGGTCAGGTGTCAACATGTGCCAATGACTTTATAGACACTGCCCATATTAACCTACTTAATTCTGATAATAGCAATCTACAGTGGACATTGTTAGAGTTTAACTCTGGGACACCACACTAACATTTTACAGTAGACAGGAAAGTCAGAGTGTAACTTGCCCAAGGAACACCAATTTCAGATCAAGTGTGTCAGACCAAGACTGGTGGCAGATGCCAGCTATTCAGAAGGCATAGGCAAGAAAACTGCAAGTTCAAGGCCGGCCTAGACAACTCAGCTAGACCATGTCTCAAAAAACTAATATGCCAAAAGTGGAGTGAGGTGAAGATCTAGTCCTGTGATGGGCTCCTCGGCTTCCACGGGTGAAGCACTGGGTTCAACCCCTAGCAAAAATGAATATATATATATGTTTGAAATAACTCTAGATCTCAAGAGTCCAAAGAAAAGAAAATTTGTCAATTCCTTGATTAGTTTTATTAACACAGTCACTCTGACTCAGCTAGCTAGTGATGGCTAATCTTTACTGAATGCCCATATGACAAACGGTCCTAAGTAGTTCCCATGTGTTAACATACTAAATCAACTAGATAAGGAAGGCTATTGTTATTATTTCTATGCTATAGATGACACTAACTGAGAACTTATTAGCATCCAAGGTTCATGACTGGCTAAGCACAGAATCCAGTTTGAACCCAGATAGTCTGGCCCCACAGGCATCCTTCTACTTGTCAGAGCCCTTCCCCTAGTTTAGGGTCAGGACCTTCCTGTGCGGTTTATTTCCTAAAATGGCCTTAGAATGAGATTTGAAGAGAGAACACCTGCAGAGGCCAGCTGGCTCACCTAATAGGAACTAACAAGGTCCAGCCCCTGCTCTAAGGACATCACAGATGATCACGCCTCCGTAACAGGCAATGAGTCAGTCATGGATATCAGATAGGGACCCTTCGGCTGGAGTACCCAAAGCTCAAATGAGCTCCGGGGAATGAAGTCATTATTTAGTTACTGGGTTTACAAACAAATTTCCAGATGCTTGAGTGGATTTAATATAGATGCCAGGCCATTCTCCACTCGGGGGAAACAAAGGGTTAAGACGATAATTATTCAAAAATATAACAGTAGAGAAAATACAAATAACAAAAATAATATCCCAGACAAGCACCCATGCTTCACCCTAAAAACACCTGCATTGGTTATACTCATTGATTAGACTTCTTAAGTGACCTGACAACTTCTTTTTCTCACGAGACAAAGCCATTAGATTAAGGTTAATCTGGGCAGCAGGAAGTCCAGGCAGGGTGGGGAAGAGTTGACAGTTGCCAATGAACTCAGACAGTGGGGGCATGTTGTGCTCTATTTCCCTCCCACACATTTCATAGTTTGATTTGGTCTTCTGCCTAAACTGTACAGACAGGGGAACCTTAAATTTCTCAGGAAGTAGAAGTTCCCCTAGCTTGTACCTTCTGAAGCCTGTCTTAGTGCTCCTGTCTGCTCCTTATCTCTCTACTCTTGGAAGCTGGCAGAAAGTTGCATCTTGACCATGGGCCTGTCTTCCTAGGAAATGCCCCCGTTCTGCTCCTTTCTCCACCACAAAGCAAGCACCTTCTCACAAGCAGCCAGGCTCCACATTGGAGCCTCGGTCTTACTCCTGTTTCTTCGTGATCTTGGGCAGGTTACTTAGCCTCCTTCTACTCTATAGTGGTAGTTGTTAAAGATACTTGCAATCACACACACAGAGTCCTACTAGTTCCCAAAACATCAGCAACCTTCTTTGCGCTTGTATTATAATAAAGCTTATCAATTCATTCGTCAAGAAACAAAAGTAAACAAACATGGGTCTTAAAACGTCTTGATCCAAGTAAGTATCCAGAGCTGAGGCTTGTGGTCACCATAATGGGGAAAGACCTAGCGTGGGCAGAGGGCTTAATAGTGTCCAAGATCCAGAGCTTCCAGGGCGTGGTCTATTCCAAAGTGAGCTTCCAAGGCCCCATTATTTCTGCAAGGTCATCTAAGCCACATTTTGGATTCAGCCAGATGAAGCCTTCACTCTCCACAAACTGGAAAAATGCTGGGAAGCCACCTGGTGCAGGGACGGTCCTCACAGGCTTTGGATTGAAATACAACCGAGAAACAATGAGCTACTGTTTAAAACACTGCAGAGGTGTATGGGAGTTCTTTATATGGACTGAAACCTGACCTGAAATTGAGTTCTAAGACAGGCACAGATGGGGAGTAATCTTGGAGATATTTCACTTTAAAACTTTTGTATTTGGTTCAAGTAGATTCAAGGCAATGAACGAAATAAGATGCAGCAAACTTAAAACATACTTCTCAGTCTTCCAATATGGTTAAATAATATGAAAGCCAACACATTTTCTCAGCCCTAGCTGATTTCTCACCCTCTCAGAACCAAGAAACAGTGTGAACACTGTGGGGTTACTACAGTGTCCTCCTGGAGTTCTGCAAGCCCTTGGGAGGTCACCAGCGACTTTATAACCTCTGGAACTAAGCACCTCTATTCACTATATTCTATTTACCATACCCCTGGAAAATGTGTTGTTAACACATCCTTGTCCCTTCAGAAAATACTGGGCAGAAGGGAAATGCTGAACTACTGAACACTAATCTGCCTTCAATAATCTCCAGTGACTGGGGCCCCAAATGCATGGAAATTTTAACCATTAACGGACATATCAGTTAACCAAAAACTGCTTCGGTACACTGTGGTATCACCTACTCCACTAAAGACCTATGGGACTAGTAGTATCAACAGCAGGGGCCTCCACTTATTGTAATTCTCAAGTCAGCCCTGTACACATTCTGCGGCAGGCAGCCATGAAACTGTTTACAGCTCAGGGAGACTCCCTGTTATGTCAAGTACCCCATGTGCTAGTGCTGCCCTCGGAGCTCCTACTGATCACACAACAATGGCATTTAAACCTGAAGGTGCTCACAGTTCCATACCAGATAATCAGTAAGCGGGCTAAGGCTGCATCAAATCTGAACAGGGCGACACTCAGCCGAGCATCTTTAACAGCGACAGGAGGTTCCAAGCTTCTGCAACTGCAGCCTCTTAATGATGTTGACATTTAGAGAGGAGTAAGGGAGAACTAACCTTTTAAGTAAAGATGAGGTTAATACTTAATATTCCAGCATTATTAACCATAAACCAATTAGGCGTTTATAAAAGTGTACCCTCGTGTTTCTACAGAGCTTCATTCTATTGTTGCAAATGCATTGATTGCAGTTAGAATCTTCCTGTGGGCTTTAACAGATTGTTTGGGTCCATAACACTAGTGACTCACAGCACTTTGCTTTTAGCATGGAAATGCTAGGAGGCAAATGCTTTCCCCTCCCAATTTAATTCTCCCATCAACTCTAAATGGCCCCTCACAAGTGGCCAGGTGACCATGAAACCCTTAGAGAGAAGAAGACGAGCGAGGACGCTTGGACCTTTGGGCGGCAGGACGGAGGGGCTGGCCCCGGACCCCCCTTCGCGCCAGCCCTTCCCGGGCCAGGTGCCCCTGTAGGCGCCCGCGTGCGGGGACCCTCTCTGCGGCTCACCTAATGACCAGGAGTTCGTGGAGCAGATACGCAGCCGCGGCCAGCAAAGCTCCCCCGGTCAAATAAAGGGTTTTCTTCCACCAGGGATCCGAGCCCAGCCCTGCCATGATCCCACCGTAATCCTGCAAAGGGAAAGCGATGATGTCCCCATAAAAGGAGAAGGGCTCCTCGGACCCGGCCCACCAGCCGAAGAAGGAGATGCTCTGGTTCCAGCTCAGGTCCACCACGCACGGCCTGGACGAGGCAAAGCCAACTCCCCAGTGCATGCTGCGCGGCTGGCTCCGGGCGCCCCTCCCAGGGCCCTCGCAGCCCGCATGGGAAGGAGCCGGCGCCCGGGCGGGCGGGCGGGCGATCGGGCTCAGCGGGGCGCGGGGGGCGCGGGCGACGGTGGCGGCAGGAGGACGCGGGCAGCGGGCGGAGGGCCGGGCTGGCGGGGCCCCGGAGCCCGGAGAGGCAGCGGCGGCCGCCGGCCTCCCTGGCCGAGGCCTCTGGCAGCGGCTCTTTGTGTCGGCGCGTGGAGAAGGCCACGTGATGTCATTGCTCCCCCGGGCCGGGCAACGGAGGCGGGAGAAAGTCACCTAGCCCGCGCCCTGCCCCCCGCCCCGCATCTTGCCGGTGCGCTGCCTGCCTCCGCTCGCTCGCTCGGGGACAGCGGCAGGGCTGGGCGCCCGCCGGGGCTCTGGGAGGCGGGCGGCCGGGGACGCTGTGACTGCGGCTAGGCCGAGCCCGCAGCCGCCGCCCTCGGTTCCGCCCGCTCCTCCCGCAGGCGCCGTGCGGGGCGGGCGCGGGACTCACCTGCCCTGAGCCGCCGGCCCGAAACGTCGGGTGAGGGCAGTTTAAGGTCGGGAGTGTGTGGCCATCGGGAAACGTCTGCTCTGATTGCTTAGAGCGCTGGGGGAGGCACAGACACCTGGGTCTGGGCAGGGTGCCGACGAAGAAGAGATGTCTGCCTTGACAAGTATCAGCAGAAAGGACTCTAGGTGAGAAATCTCCCCGCTGACAGCTTGTCTTTCCCCCTGGGACATCGTTATGGAGGGTATCACTGATGCATGTTTTATGGGTCTCCTTCCCTTTTGGTGCAGAAAACTGTAAAATAAGCAATTGTGTGTTCAGTGGTTTCTGCCACCCTGGCTAACCCTGAAGAGATTGATTAGGGATTGAATTTAGGGCCTTTACACATACATGGTAGGCATGCTCTACCAACAAGCCCTTTCAATCCTTATGCGCAGAGAACAAGACCATGTTTTATAGAAGTTTGTGATTGGTGCACGAATTCTAACCAAAGCATGGGCAGTTTTAGTTTAGAGGAAATAAAATGAAAACATTAAAGACATAAGATTCTTCACAATTAAAATGCAAGTATGCATATAAAAACACATTCGTCCCCTAAGATGGCAGAAACTGGGATAGTGATGACAGGGGCTCCCATCTCCTGGACTTCACCCCTTTAGAATAAACAAGTAATCCAGCCGTGCTAGAACTAATCATTGTTTGTCCCCATAGATAGGGAAGGAGACCCTAGCCAGGTTGACACGCATTTCAGGGATCCCTATCTCCATCCCACAGAGTCACTCACCGCCGTTCACTTCCTCAACTCCTCCGCTGTCCACTGTGGCGTCTTGAAAGTATCAGAAAATTGTTGAGTATTGTCTGATCTTTGACTCAAATATGGTTTAAATGTTCATGATACTATAATGCGCATCTTGAAGAAGCAAGTGGAGTCAAGTAAAATCTACAAGAGAGACCAAAAGACCATCTTAATTGGATGCAGGTTAAATTTTAGCATGACATAGAAGACAAAAGATTATTATTACTATAGCCAAATATGACGAAAGGAAACAGTCAACTCTGAAAAGCCACTACCCCTAAGAATCAAGTAAACTTTCGGAGAACAAGGAAAGCAGATACAACCATTCAGGCAACAGCTATGCAAGCCTTTAGCCAGCTTTTCATCTGAGGTCCACCTAAGCCTCACTTAGAAAAGCATATGCACAGAGGAGCACAATCCAGCTACAGAAAGAAGGCAACCTAAGGCTCAGGGCAGGGAGTCAACCAGGTAATAAGCCCAGCAAAAGAAAGCTAAACAGGCCAGAGAGGTGACACATGCCTTTGACCCCAGCACTCCTGAGGCAGAGGCAGGAAGATCTGTCTCAGTTCCAGGCCAGCCTAGTTCACAACAGTCAGGACTACACAGAGAAGCCCTGTCTGGGAAAAACAAAAAGTAGATAAATAAATGAACAAATGAACAAATAAATAACTAAACAGAATTGGGTTAACCAAAGAGCTGGGGAGACTGGCTCTTTGAAGAATGGCTTTTTTTTTTTTTTTTTTGCACCTTTCCTGGAACTCACTCTGTAGACCAGGCTGGCCTCAAACTCACTGAGATCCGCCTGCCTCTGCCTCCCGAGTGCTGGGATTAAAGGCGTGCGCCACCACTGCCCGGCCTGAAGAATGGCTTCTTAAAGCCCAACGGATACTCAGGTCCCAGATTGAACTGGCAGCAGCTGTGTGGTCCCATCCCATCTGAAGGGGTAGGAGCTAAGCTACAGCACACCTCCTAGGTTCCACCAGCCACTGGGATGGTGTGAGGATTCCAGGGTCAGAGCCAGAATCTTTATTCCATCCCTGCTATTATCACAACTAATTTGTCAACTTTGATATTTCCTCGTGGTCAAAAGAATGGAATACATGTCTGGCCCTGGGTGGAAACATGGCATCCTGATCTTCTCCAAAGAATAGAAAATTTCATACTATTGCCTCCTCCCTTAAGAGTTCATTCATCTGGGCCTGTCAATCACTTGGCCAAGAGACCAGCCCCTCAGAAAGGCTGATGCTAACACTGCTAAAATTTTCCTGGAGCTCCTACTGACTATTTTTAAGTTCTTTTGTGAACAAAACTAAGAACCCAAAGAGGGAGTTTTAATTTCCCCACAATGGCATTAAAATCACACTTGGTTGTAATGAAGTATTTTCCTTTTTCAATTTTTTTTTTCAAAATTAACTTCCATCAAGGTGTTGAAAGGGAAAGGAACTAACTAAATATCTGCCTATGTGGTATTGTGCTACATAATTTTTGGAAACAAACTTTCTTAGACAAGTGTTCTCACCCATCTTACAAACAAGAAAACTAAACTCCCAGAAGAGCAATTAACTATCCAATTCCAAAAGCTTGTAGGAATTGAGCCAGTATCGACACCCAAGGAAGTCTAAAGGCTCACAAGTGACCGGGTGAACTGCCCATCACCTGCATTGTCCTTCACACCACACATCGGTGCTGGAGTGCTGTCTGCAGTATTGAAGGCCTACTCCTGCTACAGTTGGAACTGTGTCTAAATTGAATGGCTACAAAACCTCAGTTGCCTATAGTTACATTGTCACCTCTCCCATGACAGCTGGCCAAGAGAAAGCCAAATAACTTTCCCAAACTTTCAACTGTATGTAGATAGCCAGGGGTGGTGGCATATATATATGATGTATATATATGCACTCAGGCTGAGTCAAGAGGATTTCCAGTTCAAAGCTAGTCTAAACTACCTGCTTCAAGAACAAAAATAGCTTATATATCACCTGTGAGCCAGCGACGATGATCAAATAAATGACAGCTAGGTCACACCAGTGCTTCCCGAGCACGTCTGTGCACATGAATTATGGGAAAGCTGGTTAAAGTGTACATTCTGACTGTGTTTTGAGGAACCCAGGAGTTCTGCATTCCTAACACATTTCCAGATGTGATGCCAGATGATGGTCTGAGTGACAGTTCTCTTTTTCTTTTTTTCTTTTTGAGCTGAGGATAGAAGCACTAAGTTAAATCCCCAACCCCAAAATAAATTCCTTTTTTTTTTTTTTAATGTTTTTTGAGACAGGGTTTCTCTGTGCAGTTTTGGTGCCCTGTAGACTAGGCTGGCCTCGAACTCACAGAGATCCACCTGTCTCTGCCTCCCAAGTGCTGGGATTAAAGGCATGCACTACCACTGCCCAAGTGACAGTTCTCTATGCCACCAGCTCAAAGGGAATTAAGAACTTGGACCACTGAAAGCATTCCTTGGCAGGTGGTTCCGCACTAGGCCACACTATTTTTTAGGAGTTTGGCCATTACATACAGATAATGGGATTGGGCAGGAATCGAATCAGAAACTTTAAAAATGTACCAAGACTCTAGAAGAACAATCAGGGCAGACCTTGATGCATATCTGACCCTGCAAGTACTGGGAGCTAAGGGAGGAAGCCTTGGGGCAGGAGAGAAACTTAAGGAAGAGGGTAAGAGAAAAGGGGGCAGATAAGAGGTGTGTCTTGCCTCTACTTCCCTACCTGAGCAGTTAAAGATCTGGCCGATTTCTCAGACACAATCAAGTGAGCAAGATAGACATTTCATTTATGTTAGAAACTTTCTCATGATGTTACAATTCTTGTTTTAAAATACAACTTGGGATATTTAGGGCCTTGCTACTGTAACAAGTAGATGTGAGACGATGCTTTTGCTCATTTTAAATAATTAAATGTATTATGCTATTTTGTTAAAATGCCTATGATTATTCAGTAATAAATAATTTATTTGATAATATTCTTCTGAGTTTTATAGTAAGGATTTGGATTTCTTGATTTGTATACTAGATAGTTTTATGTCAGCTTGACACAGCTAAAGCCATCTGAGATGAGGGAGCCTCAATTAAAATAATGCCTCCCTTAGATCAGGCTGTAGGCAAGCCTGTAGGGCATTTTCTTAATTAGTGATTGATGGAAGGGGGCCCAGACCATTGTGGGTGGTGTCATCCCTTGGCTGGTTTTCTTGGGTTCTATAAGAAAGCAGGCGGAGCAATCCTGGGGAGCAAGCCAGTAATTAGCATTCCTTCATGGCCTTTGCCATCAGTTCCTGCCTCCAGGTCACTGCCCTGTTTGAGTTCCTGTACTGTCTTCCTCTGATGATGAACAGTGATGTAGAAGTGTAAGCTAAATAAACCCTTTCCCCCCAAGTTGCTTTTGGTCATGGTGTTTCATTGCAGCAATAGTAACCCTAAGACAATTTGTATAGAAGAAATCTAATATTGTCCTACTTGCCTGGGAGATGTGATTTTTTTTTTTAATTTATTTATTTATTTATTTATTTATTTATTTATTTGCCAAAGACTGAGCCTATGGTCTTACACATGCTAGCCAATCACTCTGCTGTGGAACTATACCTCTGGCCTATACTTTTCATTTTGAGACAAGGTCTCACTAAGTTCCTCAAGCTGCCCTTGAACTTGCCATCTTCCCACCTCAGCCTTCAAGGAACTGGGATTGTACACCCGCACTGACAGACTCAGCAACGAACATTATATCCAGAAGCCATTCTGTCACCATGAAGTGACTTTATCTATGTACTTTTTGATCCATTGGACTTGACTTGGGCATCTTATAAATCACTAAGCAACTCTCAGAAAGCATGTCCTACAAGACGAGCTTAGTATCGAGATGGAAAATGAGGAACTAATAACCAGTCTCAGATGAGTGAGGAGAGTGAAAATGTTTCATTAGAAGGATGGGGACATTTTTTAATTCAGCAGTTTCCTAGTACAAAGGATGAAACTGACATCACATTTAGATGAGCAAAGCAAGAAAGAAAAGCATATCCAGGTAACCAGAAGGGCCAATAGAGGTGGAAGGTGAGCCAGACAGGTGTGGGAGAGGCAGAGTTAAGGGATGAGTGCTTCAAGAAAATACGAAGTGGGATCAATAGAGTCATATTGAACCAATAGAGTCAAAGTGAATTCAGTCAGCAGAGCAGATGCTACTGACCTTAGTGAGTAATTAGTCCTTTTTTATTTTTTTCATTGCTATAACAAAATACCTGAGCCATGTTAGTTTAATAAAGGAAAACTATTTATCTCACATTTTTGAGGAGACCTAAGTACAAACAGCATAGTGCCGGCTATGGCAAGGACTCCATGGCAAATGTCAGGGTACATGTAAGAAAAAGAGATCACATGTTGATAGAGGAAGC